ACAGCCCCATGGTGGGTAAGTGGGGGGGTCTGAGCTGCTCCCCCTGATTGCCATCTAGGGGGCTGGAGAGGGACTCATTTTGGGAGGGCAGGAAAGAAAGAGGCCAGGAGCCTCCCCCGCAAAGACCACCCGCGTCCCCCTTCCACCTGCGCCCTCCAAAGGCCACCCGTGGGTCTCCTGCCCCTCCCCCTTCCCGCGTGGGCCCCTCGTCACTGGCAGCTGGGAGCGATGGGCCCTGAGGTCCCTCCTGACGGCCTCCCTCCTCCTCCCCCTCTTCCTCCTCCTCCTCGCAGCCCATTTCTTGCACCAGGAGAAGCATGAGTGCCACTTCTTCAACGGGACGCAGCGGGTGCGGTTCCTGTTAAGGGACATCTACGACCGAGAGGAGTTTGCCCACTTCGACAGCGACCTCGGGAAGTATGTGCCCGTCACCGAGTTGGGGCAGCTCTGGTCCGACATTTTCAACAGCCAAAAGGACTATCTGCAGTACCAGAGGACTGCCGTGGATCGCTTCTGCCGGCACAACTACGAGGTGGCCAAGACGGGGCGGATGGTCGGACTGGAGAAGTGAGTCCAGGAGGGGGGCTTCCCGGGGGCGCAGAGATGCCGGGACCCCCCTTCATTTAATCCGTTAAGGTTTCCCCTTGTAAAGATTTACTCCGTGTTTATTCCGCGCTCTCAGATCCATGAAATCTTCTTCTTCCTTGTCCCAGGATCCCAACTCTTCCCCTGCCCTGAATCGGGGATCCCTTTGATCCCCTCCCAGAGGGGATTCGGGGGCGGAATCCGGCTGCGTCTCCCCCCTCCCCAATACAGATTCAGGGACCGAAGGGGGTCCCCGTCCCTCTGTCCGGCCAGGAGCCCATTTCCCTCCCCCCTTTCCCTCCCTCCCGGGCCCCAGAAATGGGGTGTTTTAGCCTTTTAGGATAAAAAAAATCAATTTCCAAAGGTCTGAAAAAGGGAATTAGCAAAGGAATTGACTTTCCTGTCATAAGAAACACATTAGACCTTCATTAAACCCTGAAGCCAGCAATGGTTTAATGTAGGATGGCCTGATTCTCTGTTCCAGGTTTCTTACAAATTGCCTAAATTTCTTTTTGTAATTTCAAATCTTTGCATAAGAATAAATTTATATCTATCAGCTGATAGGGTTTCAAAGGCCAAGCATTGTGCAAAGGCAAATGAGAGACCAGTAATTCTCCAGCTCTTTCTCTTCGCTTCGATATCTTTGTTTCTTTTGTTTAAAAAAATATTCCGTGTTTTCAGAGCAGGTTGTTGATCCAGTTCCAGTTCAGGAGATCTGAAATCACAAGATTTTTCCTGAGCCTGTTTTGGGGAATATTCTGTCCCTCTTTCTTTTCCTTTTGAGTTGACTTTTCTCTGTGGGGATTCAGACATCTTGTTCCCCCGAGAGACCAAAGCTTTTTCTTATTTGATCACAAAATAGTTTTCCTGAACTATCGGCAAAATTAAATGAGCCCCTATTTGTTTGCACAGAAATCACGTCTATGTCTTAACATTTGTTGTTCAAAGGAGCATCCAGTTCTCATCTCTTGCTATTTGCAATACTTTCATCCAAATTCAGCATTAGTTCTACGGGTGCTTGATCAGAATTAAACCAGCATTTCATTTTTTTTTACTACCTTAACCATCAGTCTTGATATTAAATAATAAATCTTAAACATGTGTGATGTGGGGAGGTTAAATGTGTATTCTTGTTGTTTTAAATCAAGAGGTCTCCATATGTCTATTAAATGAAATTCCTGGATGGATCGATGGAAAATGTTGTGTCTCTGGGAGGGTCTTTAAAAAGAAAAAACAATCTTGTTCCAGTCGAATTGTGAATCCAGAACTGAATTAAAGTCCCTGCCCAGAAACTCCCATCTGATCTAATTGTTCCCCCAAAATGTTTGCAAGGCAGTTTTGTAAATAATTAGGTTTATCTTTGGTGGGGCCATAAAAACATGATTCATGCCATCTGATTATATCCTTATTTAACTACAAAAGTTAATCTATAAATTTTTAAGATGTTTCCACTAAAATTGCCAGATTTTACATTTTGAATTTCCACTGATTTAAATCTGCTTCTTCCATTTTTTGCTTAAAAGTATTTTCACATTGAGAAGAATTTGCATTTCCTGAAAAAAAGGGGGAAAAAAACAGTGTCATGAATTTCAATTTACCAAAACTGCCTTCTTTTAGCTATTTTACAAGGATTTTTAATGTTCCAAAATACAAATGTGCTTATTATGAAGAAAAAGCCACAAGTGTATCATTTATCTGAGTGGCAACCAGACTAGATCCCAGGTCTTCATTACAAATAACCAAATCATTTAAAAATGAATCTTCTTAAATGTTAACTGTTACTAAAAAAACTCATTAGTAAGAAAAACTATTAACAAATTATGTCTCTGAGAGGAACCGTTTTTGAGCCAGGTCCGACTCTGCTTAATTCTCACCTCATCCAGAATCAAATTTAACCAACTCAACAGTGGACAGGAAAGGCTGCAGAAGAGGAAAGTGAAGTTTTTCTCCCTCTCTCCAAACAAAACTCTTGGAAAGGGGACTTAAAACACAGAACATTTTTGAGACTAAGACGGACCTTGGCCTGAACCAACCGACTTGCTCTTCCATTCTGGGCCCTGTTGAGTCTCTCACGTCCCTCCTTCTCCCTCCCCTCCAGCCAAGCCCACCGTCACCATCTCCCCCACCAAGATGGACCCCGGTTCCCCCAACACCGTCCTCCTCTGCACCGCGACGGGCTTTTACCCCCTGGAGATCGACGTCCAGTGGCTGAAGAACGGGCGGCCGGAGAAGGAGGGCGTCGCCTTCGGGGAGGAGCTCCAGAACGGAGACTGGACCTA